CTATACTTGTATGTTTCCTTTCCATAAATTCTTTAATGACCCGAGAGCTCCATTTCTCTGTTCTGGTTTTTATTTTATTTATTTTCGTAAAACATGCTTCTTGGTGTATAATCTTGTTCATACCGTTCAATGACAACATTTTTAAATCAAAGGTGTTCTTTTAATTAACTAGTAGAGAAACTTAGCCGAGTTACTTGTTATAGGGTATAGAAAAGAAGACTGCCAAGTTGCAGGGAATTGAGAAGGCTGTTGTTGCACGACATGAAGCTGGTCATGCAGTAGTAGGGACTGCTGTTGCAAGTCTTCTTCCTGGACAGCCACGTGTTGAGGTGCATTTTTTTAGAGATTTACTGAAAATACTTCTTATTTATATTACTAATGAATGGATAAAAATAACTTAAAAATAATATGAGAAATTGTGGATAATTCAAGTCCTGCAGTAGCTCACTTGTTAACTATCAATTTACATAAATATATTAATTATTTGCGTCTTTGTGTTATCAGAAATTGAGCATATTGCCAAGGTCGGGAGGGGCGTTGGGCTTTACTTATATTCCTCCAACAACTGAAGACAGATATTTACTCTTCATCGATGAGTTGCGTGGACGTTTGGTTACACTTCTTGGAGGACGTGCAGCAGAAGAATTTGTGTATTCAGGTCGTGTCTCAACAGGTGCACTTGATGATATACGACGAGCGACTGACATGGCATACAAAGCAGTAGCTGAGTATGGTCTCAATCAGAACATTGGCCCTGTGTCTATAGCAACACTTTCTGCTGGTGGAATGGATGAGTCTGGAGGAGGTGCTCCTTGGGGAAGGGATCAGGTCCAGTGTATTTTTATTTTGTTTTTGTTTTTGAATAAATTGATTGCTGTAAATACTGATCCTATAATGATAACAACAGGGGCGTCTTGTTGATCTTGTTCAAGGAGAGGTTAAAGCTTTGCTACAATCTGCCTTGGACATAGCTCTTTCGGTTGTACGTGCTAATCCTACTGTTTTGGAGGGTCTTGGTGCTCAGTTGGAAGGTGATGTTTTGCTGCTTTGGTATTATTATATTGTTTCCTATGTTCTACAGTTTTATATAATTGAAGCCTTTTGCTATTCGGTTATGTGCACTAGTACTCTTGTGGTAGCGTCAAATTTGTAGAAACCAGCATGACACAAAGAGTGGCTATTAAATAAAATGAAGTTCAGCAAGATACAAAGAGTGGCTATTGAATAAAATGAAGTCCTGTTTCAGTTTAGTCTTTTGGCGTTTTGGACATTTAGCCGTGTTGAAATTAGCTGTAAAATCAATCATAATCACTTGCAAATTTGTCGTGCTGGGACTTGCACCGTGTAGTTATTATAGGCCTTGTTGATGAAAGATGCAAGTTAACGGTTGTGTTTGTTAGATTTTCCAGGTTTTATGTATCTATTGAGCTTAGGGACTCTCACATACAATAATATGCTCATATTATTGGCAAATCTTGATCTTAGTGTGCAGACTGGTTTTTATTATAAATGTAACCTCTGCAGTTATCATGGTATTCTGATAGTATTTCTTGTTCAGAAAGAGAGAAGGTAGAAGGCGAAGAGCTACAGAAGTGGTTAAAATTGGTGGTTGCACCAACGGAACTGTCAATCTTCATTAGTGGCAAGCCAGAGTCTCTTCCCCCGTTGCAGACCATCGAGTCTCTTCTCCCATTGCAGACCGGCTCTTATTAACTACCATATGTGGTTATACTTATTCTCCTCGGTGTGAAATATGGAGTAGCTTACTGCTCTTTGTGCCGCTGTCCTGTCAGTGAATTCATCCTCTTTATTGGCAGCAGCTCCCACTTACAACTTGTATATTTTGGGTTCATTTTCTAACGAGTGTGATCACGCTCTTTGTTTTACCTCACAATTCACGCTCTTTGTTTTACCTCACAATTCACCAGCCCAAGTTGCCCAACCAAAGAGAAGGGAAAGAAGCCGGAGAATGGTACCTGAAACTGTTTGGTATCTGAAACTGTTTCGGGGTCACCCATGTTAACTTCAGCACAACCGGGTTGGTATCTGAAACTGTTGTACATTGACTGTTACTCAATTACACATGATCTGCCTATATGCAATGGTAATTGTTCATGAGTTGTATACGATAATTATTACAAAAGATGTAATCTCCTCATATTGGTTCAAAAAGTTCAGATGAATGGTGTGCATGTCATATTTTTGGTATTGGGATGGTACCGGCAATGTTGCCGGACAAAGAAAGTTTGCCCTAGGCTTGAACGCCGGTGGTGAGAAGCGGTATTGACCCAAGGGTATGCCAAGTCATTGTTTTATTTGGTTGTTTGATTTGTTGGTGGTTTCAGTTTTCGGTCATTGTTTTGCCCTTGGGGGTTAAAGAAGTCTCTTTCGGTTTTTGATCTGAAATCGGAGGAATTCTAGACACGGGAGAAGTCATTGTAATAGCATCTCAAGTCAATACGCACCGTCTCGTTGAATAGTTGAGCCAAGGGTAGAATACGGTCCAAATTATTTGAGATGGGGAGAGATTGGTAATGGATGTTATTATTGGTGATGGATATTATTGTCTGTAATCTTTATGCTTAGACATTTTGGAGTCCAAAAATATCGGCGTCCCTTTCTGAAAGAAACATAAGACTTTGGTGTTTAGGGTTTTGGCAGAAGGAAGCAGAGGAACATCTTAACCAGCTGAAGGACCACTGTCCCCATATCTTTCTGTTTCCTTCCGTAATTTGAGTGTCCTATTCATTCACTTGTAACTTCAACTTTTCTCCACTACCAATCCACTTTATGACTAACGAAAATTCTTACTTTCGACTATAGGCCATAGTTAGTTTATGAGCCATTTGTGTTGGTCAAATTTAAGGCGAGTCTTGACGCAACAGAAAAGTTGTTCCTTTATAATCGAAAGGTCATGGTTTCGAGTCTTGAAAACAGTTGTAAGGCTGCGTACTATAGACCTCTCCCGTGATCTTTGTAAACGAGGGAGTCTTGCTGGCTTGCAGTCACCCTTATATATTGATCAAATTTGATGATTCAATCCACAAGAACCCTAATGCAAACTAATTTACTTTAGGGATAATTTATAGTGGAAAATAATCGGTTTCTTTTACCTGTAAAAATTCATATGATAGTTTGATATATGTGAGTATTGTTCCTTTTAATAATTTTAATAAATAATTTGTATTTTCCAGATAAGAAAGACTAGCCTTTTACATATAAGGAAACAAAATGCATGGCAAAGTAACATGAACAAAATGTTTTGTACTTTCAGATATTAGAAAAGGAAAAATGTTTTTTGCTCTTGTACAAGGGAAATGGAAGTAGCAACAACAATAGTCTCCATATGTGGTTTGTGGACGATTGTAGATGCACGATGAGTTCACTAGTAGAAAACATGGCATCAAAACACATGCGGTTGGCTAAGTAGATAGAAACTCAGATAGAGAACATTGGATTGACATCCACTCCACATCTCTTGTATCTGGAGCTCGCAGATCGAGAAATTCGAACCATTTAATTTCAATCCTATGCCTCCATCCCACTAGTTCACTTAACAAAAATCTAAAAACTTGAACAGTTCGAATCTCTTTCCCTTTTTTTAAAAGTAAGGATTTCTCGGTCCGCGAACTCTGGACACAGAGATTTGGAGTGAATCTCATTTGGATAATATTGACCATACATTAATGGCTGCATGGTGACCGTATCGATTAGACACAAAAAACAGAATGTTGGTATTCTAAAAGACACTTGTGAAATCGGTGGGAATAGCCAAATTTTCTACTAGTCGTTCTATGTTACATTCAATGGTTGAGAGTTATTCACAATAATACGTTAATGGTTAAGAGCGTAATGTTGATAAGTCGCTGAGAACAAGAGCTTACTACTGCGGACGTACGTAGCACGCTTGACGGTTTTTGCATGGCAATGGTATATAACATGCATAATTAGCAAGTTGCTTAATACGTAATGACGATTTCTAAACTCTATTAGCTACTCTTTAATGTTTGGAGGCAAATGTCAAATCTCTTCATGTACTCTTTGTCACATCGTGTTTTTTACACAATGTTTAATAATTTTGCAAGAGAATTGAAGTTAAATTATGAGGTGACAAAAAATATATGAAAAGTCTCACTTTGAGAGAGTTCCCTTAACATTTCTCTTATCCTTATTAAGCAATTATTCTTCATAATAATCTGCAGAAATTGCCAAAATTTGACAAGAACCAAACGACGACACAGAACCAAAGTTGAAGGACCTAAAGTAATTTGGAACATCTTACGTTGCCCCTTTCGAAAATTGAGAAGATCGCAATGTCTCACGTGAATGGTAAGGCCAAAAAAAGGCAACTACATATTCATATGACATGCCAAATTTGTCAAGATGTTAATGAAAGACAGTTAGTCATACGCTCCTCATGAACAATTCCAAAGCATCCAACGGATCGTTGGAATAAAATCACGATGTATCATAACTTAATCATAAACTCACCAAACAGTTAAAAAAAACCGTTAAAAAACTTGGAATAATGTAATCACAAATTATATCGTCGTCTCATCTCGTTTTGATCATAGGGTCATCTTAAACTATATGATATTTCAAAGTTGTCACACAATTTCACATGTTAGCATAAGACAATTAGCCACAAGCACCTCATGAACAATCGCAAAGCATCCAAATTATATGTAACTATGAATTTGTTCTAACGGAATCACCATGAGTCATAAATCTTAAACTCTAAATAATTCCGAATGAAATCTAGAAATTGGAATACGCAACTATAAATATATCCTCGTCCCATCATGTGTGATTAAACTTTAAAATTAAGACAAAGTAAAAACCGAGTGCTATTAAATTAACAAGTCATGTGCATTAATTTTTTATTGAATTAAGAAGAATTCAGAAAATATCTGGTTGGAAAAATCACCTAGAGCCACGTAGTGTTGGCTTTCTGGTTACCTTCTGGAGCAAACACGAGTACACTGCTTTTTAACTCCCTATAAAATGCTACAACGTAATCTTAGGCAAGTGCTCAGATTGTCATTGAAATTTTCAGTTGTGAGAGAGAGAACAAGATAAGCCTGTGAGAAGCCTTCCTTCTTCTACCAGCCCCAGGTTCCAGGTTCTTCCTTTCTCTCTCCTCTCTCTCTCTCTCTCTTCAAAACCCAACATTTTCACTCTCATAGTAATCCTTCTAGCTCACTTGGGTCGGTCTTAATTTTCTGTTTGGTTGCCTAGAAAGTTCAAGGTGCTTGTCAAATGAACACAAATTATCAAACTTTTAACGATTTTGGTTTCCTGCAAATTCAAACAATTTCTAATATCTGGAGTGTTGAAGATAAATTGATTAAATTCTGATGCTTTTGTTTTGTTTTTGCATGCCTCACTGAAATTGTTCATTCCCTGAAATGGATGTGAAATTGTGAATAAAAATAGGAAATTGGTTGCATCTTGCTAATTTTTAGTTGCTTGTGGGTTGAATTTTTGTGTCCCAATTGTTTGCTGAATTCAGAAATGGCATCGGTGCATAGTGCCCTGACATCGGTTGTGTGCAAGAATGGCAGTCATTCTTCTGCAGCAAAGTTCCCAGCTACCACCTTCTTGCCCGGGTTTGATGCCGTGGGGCGTCTTTCAAGCCCGTTCAAGAAGGAAGTGTGCCTTAGTTCCCTGAGCTCAGGTGCCAAAGCTACACTTACCTTTGATCCCCCAGCAACCAATTCCGAGAAACCCAAGCTACCAAGGCATACAGCCGATCCCGCTTCTCCTGATTTTCTGCCTCTTCCGTCCTTTGAACAATGTTTTCCCAAGAGCACAAAAGAACACAGGTGTGTCTCTTTATCTTCTTCCATTGCTTCACATGAATTAATTGGTCCCGAAATGTATAACTTGTTAAATCACTTGAGGTACATTTGTGAATTGGATTATGGCGTACTGATGCGTGATTGCCCCTGCAGGGAAGTTGTTCACGAAGAAACTGGCCATGTGCTCAAAGTTCCCCTTCGACGAGTCCACCTGGCTGGGGATGAACCTCCATTCGACAACTATGACACTAGTGGTCCACAAAACATAAGCCCGCGCGTTGGTAAGCACAACTTTATTTCGTCATCTTTTTTGTTGGTGGTCTTCTTCACGCTCTGGAACTGAACACTCGATTGAAAATTGTTATATGATGTTCAATTTTAATACAGTAATGTGGTTTCGACTAAAATGTCTTTCTGTTCTTGTGTTTTGGGCTTAAATTGGATTTCTTCATCCATTTTCTTGGTTGATGTTGATAAATAGGTCTCCCTAAACTGCGGAAAGATTGGATTGAGAGGCGAGACAAATTAGGTGCACCAAGATACACTCAGATGTACTATGCTAAGCAGGGAATTATAACTGAGGAGATGTTGTACTGTGCTGCTCGTGAGAAGCTTGACCCAGAGTTTGTGAGATCAGAAGTGGCTCGTGGGCGGGCAATTATCCCTTCCAATAAGAAGCACTTGGAGCTGGAGCCAATGATCGTTGGGAGAAAATTTCTGGTCAAGGTTAATGCAAACATAGGAAACTCTGCTGTTGTCAGCTCTATCGAAGAGGAAGTTTATAAAGTCCAGTGGGCAACTATGTGGGGTGCTGACACTGTCATGGATCTGTCTACAGGACGTCACATCCATGAGACCCGTGAGTGGATCCTACGTAACTCCCCTGTGCCAGTAGGGACAGTACCCATTTATCAAGCGCTTGAAAAAGTGGATGGAATTGCAGAAAACCTGAACTGGGAAGTGTTCAGAGAAACTCTTATTGAACAAGCCGAGCAGGGTGTAGATTACTTCACCATCCATGCCGGGGTTCTACTGCGGTACATCCCACTAACAGCAAAGCGTATGACAGGAATTGTTTCACGAGGAGGATCCATTCATGCAAAGTGGTGCTTAGCTTATCACAAAGAGAATTTTGCTTATGAGCACTGGGATGACATACTCGACATCTGCAATCAATATGATGTCGCCCTGTCAATTGGTGACGGGCTGAGACCTGGTTCGATTTATGATGCTAATGACACTGCACAGTTTGCAGAGCTGTTAACTCAGGGAGAACTGACCCGTAGGGCATGGGAAAAGGATGTGCAGGTAATGAATGAAGGGCCAGGGCATGTTCCAATGCACAAGATTCCGGAAAACATGAAAACAGCTTGAATGGTGTAATGAAGCGCCTTTCTACACTCTTGGTCCTCTAACAACTGATATTGCTCCTGGATACGATCACATCACCTCTGCCATTGGTGCTGCCAACATTGGGGCTCTAGGCACCGCCCTTCTCTGTTACGTAACCCCGAAGGAGCATCTGGGATTGCCAAACCGAGATGATGTGAAGGCTGGAGTTATAGCATATAAGATAGCTGCTCATGCCGCTGATCTAGCCAAAGGTCACCCACATGCTCAAGCCTGGGATGATGCATTGAGCAAGGCAAGATTTGAGTTCCGGTGGATGGACCAGTTTGCCTTGTCACTAGACCCTATGACTGCCATGTCATTCCATGACGAAACCCTGCCAGCAGATGGTGCCAAGGTGGCCCATTTTTGCTCCATGTGCGGTCCAAAGTTCTGTTCAATGAAGATAACGGAGGATGTGAGGAAGTATGCTGAAGAGCATGGTTACGGGAGTGCTGAGGAAGCTGTGATCCGTGGAATGGATGCTATGAGTGCTGAGTTTCTTGCTGCCAAGAAAACTGTGAGCGGGGAACAGCATGGTGAAGTTGGAGGGGAAATTTACTTGCCAGAAAGTTATATAAAAGCTGCCGAGAGGTGAAGGTCAGTAATTTCTTTTTATTAAATTTCTATTTTCTATAAACTTGATGTGATTTTGTGGGAAATATCAGTGGTGCGGAGAATTTAATTTGCCATTGTAAAACTGTCAATTTCTGTACTTAAGCTGCATTCACAGGATGAATCGGTTTGAAGAAGAAATTTGCTATCGTGCATTCCATCATCTTCGTTTAGCAAATAGACCGCTCACATCTACGCTATTCTCATTATTTTGTTCTTCTGTTCTACAACGGGAACAGTTGCAGGATCACGTGAATAACCAGAATCAGTTTGACGACTCTGGAGGCTTTCGTGCATGATCGGCTTGTGCAGCGAGGTTTTCATTTTCATGCTATGGTATAGACATAGTTTGGTGTGTGTGAAATAATTCTGAAGACTCATGACATTATCGTTTTCTTGCTTGAGCTTACGTTTCTCCGTAATAAAATGCTTTCCGTTCATATTACATCGATATTGTGTTTATATTGTTAGCATCGTATTGACATAAAGGACGCACCAGGGGTGCCTGTATCTGCTCTAGCACTGGCCTCGTGGTTAGTATGCGAGGAGCAGGTCAGGCTGAGATAGTCCCTTTGAACCTGAACAGGTTAATGCCTGCGTAGGGAGTGTGCATCTCTTTTTCCTGTTTCTGTGCTTGCACAGGGAGGGAGAGCTTTCGTCCATGGTTCGGGCTAGCTGATAGCATCATGGCCGAGCCGATCAGTCTGCACGGCTGGGAGGAACCGAGTGGCAATTCTATGATACAAAGAGGAAAACAGTGCCTATAACTCACCAGCTTCGATTATTTTGTTCTCGTCTATTGCAACTGGTTTCTTCCTCAACACTCAGTTTTAAATTCACTGTACTTCAATTAGCCGAACTCGGTGCTAGATTGAAAAGCACTTTTAAAGAAAATGTTTTTCAGTTCCAAAAGCATTTGGAGCGCTTCCTGCAAGAAGCAGTCAGTCGTTTTAGAAGCATTTCCAAATGAGCCCTGACTCGAGTCTTTCATGTGTTATAAAAGGTTTAGTTTTCCGAATTTCCTGTTACCAAATTTGGTTCGAGATCATATCATTGGATACAAAACTTCGACCCAAAAGAGTTGTAATACTGAGAGAGACACCAAATAAGCGAGCTTAGCATTTTGTCACACATACAAAAGACCACAAGGATGAAGATAATTGTGCAAGAAGATTGCATTGGTAAAAGTAATTCACGGGTAGTAATTTCCGTACCCCTTTTCTCCTCGTGCACTCGTCTGTGTCTCTCTAGCCTTTCGATTGAAAAACCTAGTGGAGAATCAAGGGGCAAAAGGAAGGAGGACGGCACAAGGAGAACAAGGTTGTGAAATCACTGCCCTAATTTGCTCACAAAAGGGATAACTGAACCAAATACATACATTTGTATTGGATTTCGTTTACGAATTTTACGACAAATACAAAAACGATGGAGAGTGTTTCGAAACCAGCCTGCAACATGACTCGGTTGCAATCCTAACAAGGCATGGATAGTTGATCGCACTGTTAGGGATGAACTGAGATGAAACCTCCTCATGGGTTAATCTGGGGGCCGAAAATGTGTTAACAAAAACAGCTCTTTATCTGTCTCGTCACTCGGCTGCATCAGAACTCTCATCTGCTGCCGTCCCTGCAATCCAAAATCGAAAAACGAAACCAAATCAACAAGACAAAATTCCAAGAAAAGATCATCATCATCCTATACAACGTTGTCCTCTCCGTAAAAGTACACAGAAAACCCATGACTGGTTCGATATAAAAATGTGAGTAATGTTTGATACAAACTTGTTAGCGTAATCTAATCACCGATCATTTCCTACACGTCCCAGCTTGCAAGAATCAATGAATATGAGTTTGATAAAGAGAAACCACATTGCCCCCTGCACCCCGAAAGCCTGTATTCGATTCCCCCCTCCATTAACATCGCACCCGAAATCCTGTATTTGATAACTAAACAACCACATTGCACCTTGTCCCCGAGTTTCTATGTTCGTCTCCCCCCTCCCTAATATCGGTTACAAGAAACAGAAAAACCACATTGCCCGCGAACTTTTTATCCTCCACGTCCGAAATTTGGAACCAAATTAACCGGAGCATTGCTAACAATATGCATACATGTGTTGTGTTCTTATGCTCAATTCAAAAAATTTCAATCAATACTAAAAGACTGCAGCAAAAACTAGTTCTACAAACGCAGATAAACGAACAAACCCGAATCAAATCATATTAAACCAGCTTCAAAAAATGGCGTAAGAGACTTAACCTTCACCTTCAACTCCTCCTTCTTCTTCCTCCTCCTCCTCGTCCTCTGTCTCGCCGTCGTAATCAACCCCGTACCTTGCATTCAGATAATCCACAATCTCCGGCGTCATGATCAGCTTATCCGCATTCAAAATGTCAAACAAATTCAAAGTCCTCGGCGTCAGCATCTTCAAAGTCCCAATATTTCTGCTCGAAAGCCTCACATTGTTCGCCACCTCCGTCACCAGAAACGTCGTCTTCTCCTTCGGGTCCAAACCCCACCGCTTCATCGCCGCTATAAACTCCGTCGTCTTCGGCTTCTCAAGCTTCTCGAACTCGTCGCTGAAATCCTCCACCACGATCGTGTTCTCCGCGGCGCTCGCCACCGCCGTCGAAATCGCCAGCCGCTTCTCCTTCCGATTGATCTTGATGCTCCAATCCCTGGGCTTGGGTCCGAACACGACCCCTCCGCCGGGTCGTAGCGGGGTTCGAGTCGACCCCTGGCGGGCCCGACCCGTCTTCTTCTGCGGGTAAGGTTTTCTCCCTCCTCCGCTGACCTCCGCGCGGGTGAGGGTGGATGCTGTGCCGCGGCGCTTGTTCTGGAGGTCGGTGATGATGGCGCGGTGGACGACGGCGCGCGCGGTGTCGGGGAGCGCGGACTTGAGGTCTAGGAAAGTTTCCCCAACTTTGTCGCCCGTGAAGGAGAGGACTGGGAGGGTGGCGACCTCGGCGGAGACGGAGAGGGGTTTAGAGGTTTTGAGAGAATTTTTCGGTGCGAGGGCAGAGAGGGGTTTGTGGGAGGAGGAGGGGAGGAAGATTGAGGAGTTGAAGAAGGAGAGTGATAAGGACGCTGCGGAAGTCGCCATTGTTGGAGAGCGAGAGCGAGAGCTCGAGTGAGAGAGAGTTTGTGACTCTCAGTGATGGTGTTGAAATTTGCTATCCACAACCGCTGCGCCCGCTGCCTATCCGTTGGGTGCTAGGCGCTTCTTTGTATAAACGACGTGTCGTGTCAGCGCTTGGACCGGCCCACTTAAAAATCGAATCATGCTTGGGCTGATCCGCTTGTACCTTAACTGAGTAAAAGCATTTACCCATACAAGTAAAGTTTTATATTTGAATTTCCTTTGCTATATAACAATTTAGTTTAGTTGTGGTTTTAGAGAAGAATTTACATGGAATAACTTCACCATCATGTGGTTCCCGATCAAATGCTGTATTATTGTGTGTAAGTTTTTTTTTTTTTTTTTTATATGGAGAGATTTTTCAAAGTGTCGGAACACTGTCTGCTACATTAAATGTCATAATATAATTGGTTAAAGTTTTCTTTTAAGGTTTCGATCAATTGTATTATTATATTTAATGTATCGGACTACATTACCGGCACATTGAAAAATTTATCCTCAACTTTTGTACGGTCTTTCAAAACCGCCTTAGTTCGCCAGAAAACAATGGGCCATAACACCACCTCAGTAAAACAATGGGCCAGGAGGGCCACGACCCATTCGCCCCACTCTCCTTCTCATGACGCGTTACCTAACTTCAAACAGATTTCAACTTCCTTGTCCACCTCGGAGAACAGTTTCTGCACAGCCAAAGCTTTTGGATTTGTCTTTCTTCAAATCATTCACTCTGGTTCCTCAAATCGTAAAAAGTTTCTGCCTTTCACACCCAGTCGGTGATTCGCCTTTTGGATTCATACGTTCTCTCAGTAAAAGAACTGGAATTTTGAGAAATTGGAAATGTCGACCGACAGCAGCTCCCAAGTCTACCACGAGCGGCAGAAGCTACAGTTTTGCCTCTTGCACTCGCTCAACAATCTTTTCCAGGTAACCCTTTCAAAACCCATCTCTCTTTCCCTCTCTTTAATCTACTTCTCGTTTGAATTTTGTTTTTATTAGGAGAAAGGTACTAGAAGATTACCCACTAATTATTTCTGCCCAAAATGATCATTCTGCTTTAATTTTATGATTTTAGACAACCTTAATGTGTATTTTTCGGTTTTAATTTGCTTATTTGATTTGAGTATTAGGTGGGTTTGATGCTAATTATCGAAAAAATGTTTGTTGAACAGACAAAAGATGCATTTACTCGATCAAGCCTGAATGAGGTTGCTGAAAAACTTGTGGTTGAAGAACCCAACAAGGAAAAATGGACACCCTTTTCTGTGCTCTTTAAACCCCATCATAATTCACTCACTGGAAACTATGACATAAATGTGCTAATTGCTGCTTTAGAAGACAAGGGGAAGAATGTGGTTTGGCACGATCGGCGTAATGGGGCGTCTAAGATTGATCTAGACGGGCCTGAAGATGCTAATTTGATGGGTATTCTGCTTAATGTTCCGGTTAGAATGTTTGCCGGATTGTGGAAAAGTAGGCATTGGGTAACGTTGAGGAAGATTGGTGGGGTTTGGTACAATTTGGATAGCGATCTTGTTGCTCCTGCGGCCTTTGAAGATGCTGAAAAGGTTAGAGAATTCTTGGATTACATGATTGGACATGGTGGAGAAGTTTTGCTTGTTATGAATAATAAATAGTAATTTTCTTTTACTTGAATCAAAGTAATCTGATAGGATTTTCAAATGACTGTATATAAACTCTGCTTGTAAGAAGAAACTGTTTTGTTTCTTTTTCGTTTTCAGTTTGTTCCTGTGTGTATTCTGTTTCAGTGCTTAACATTATTGAGGAGATGTTGGAATTAGTAGGATAATGCATTGGGTGGTAAGGATGCTACTAAATGATTTATGTGCTTGCATATCTGGTCTTGGAAAGGATTCTCCATTAATCTTGACGCGTTTGGTGGCTTTTGAGGTGAAATGTTAGTAGTTAAGGGCAATGTTCTCTTAGTAGACATCTGGATACTCATTAGAAAAGATTGAGTTTGGTTTCAAATGAATATGGATCATGTGCTTGACATAGTATGAGATATTTTTGCACAAATTTTGATCAGGAAATTGATTTCAAGTTGTCGCTAATCAGTATCGTTTGATGCTACGTTTGAAAGGGAAAGTTTGGATGGATTGATTGTGCTTTTTCCAAGTTTTGTTAACCACTTTCTTGCTCTGTAGAAAATAGAACTTAGTTTTGGATTTGGGACCGTTTGTTAACCATTTCGTTTTTAGTTTTCATTTTTTGGTTAGAGATAGAGGTTAAATACAGGGGAGAAAGGCAAATACAGGAAATTGGTGGAAGAGATGCGCAAGAATGTACACGGAATGGTAAATAATATAAAAATTAGAAACAATTATAATTTTTACTTTCAAGTTTTTGTTTTAGATATTCTCTTTCATTTCTCTCTCCCAACACTCTCCATCCACCGTTCTTCACCCCTTTTCCCTTCATATCCTCCCACTCATCTTATCACAAACAACGAAACTAAAACTTGTTGGGTTTTTTAGCTATGATGAGTTGTCTTAAGTCTATTAGAAATTATTGTCTTAAGTGGATTAAATTGTTTTCGTAATTGAATTAGTTTTTTTCCAATTGAAGTGATTTTTCCAATCGGAGTTGGTTTCTTAGAGAATGATTTATAACTAGGTTCCAATTAGGATTAGTATTCCTTATTGAAGAATATCTTTATTATATCTATATAAAGAAGCTTTGCACGAGTTTTGAATTGGAGTAAAATAATAAGTTGTATACCACTCAAGAAGTTAGAGTGAGAGAATATTGTAAGGGCAATGTGTGTGAGAGAAAAGAAAAGGATAAGAGTGTATTTTTTGTTCTTGTTTTTTCAAGTATTCTGTCAAGTCTTTATCTTAAGAGGTTTGGCAAGATTATTCTTTGTACTCATTATTGATATAGAGAATATAGATGAACCACGTTAATTCTTAGTGTGATCTGTCTTGGTTATTTTGTTTTCGGTGTCCGAGTTTGTTTTGTTTTTTCCATTCTTAAACGCAATATCCACAACAAAACTAAAACGGAATGGTATGGGCACCATAAGATAGTTTGTTTAATGACAAGTTGATGATCTAGAGAGCTAGTGCATGTTATGTTATGATTTCAACGGGGTTTTAAAACTTGAGTGCTGTTCATCTTTCGATGTTATCTTAGTACATTCAAACCTCTACTTTCTCTATATCAATAATGAGTACAAAGAATAATCTTGCCAAACTTCTAAGATTAAGACTTGACGAAAAACTTGAAAAAACAAGAACAAAAAATACACTCGTATCCTTTTCTTTTCTATTTTCTCTCGCACACTTTGCCCTTACAATATTCTCTCACTCTAACTTCTTAAGTGGTATACAACTTATTAGTTTGCTCCAATTCAAAACTCGTGCAAAGCTTCTTTATATAGATATAATAAAGATATTCTTCAATAAGGAATACTAATCCTAATTGGAACCTAGTTATAAATCATTCTCTAAGAAACCAACTCCGATTGGAAAAATCACTTCAATTGGAAAAAAAACTAATTCAATTAAAGGTCGTACCCAGTGCACAAGGTTCCCGCTTTACGCAGGGTCTGGGAAAGGTGAATGTCGGCTAGCTTTACCCCCATTTTATGGAGAGGCTGCTCCCAAGTCTCGAACCCGAGACCTACCGCTCATGGGCGAAGGCACTTGCCATCGCACCAAGTGCGACCTCTAATAGACTTAAGACAATTTAATCCACTTAAGACAATAATTCCTAATAAACTTACGACAACTCATCATGGCTAAAAAACCCAACAAGTTTTAGTTTCGTTGTTTGTGCTAGGACGAGCGGAAGGATATGAAGGGAAAAGGGGCGAAGAACGGTGGGGGAGAGAAATGAAACAGAATATCTAAAACAAAAACTTGAAAGTGAGATCTATAATTGTTTCTAATTTTTATATTATGTACCATTCTGTATACATTTCTTGCGCATCCCTTCCACCAATTTCCTGTATCCGCCTTTCTCCCCTGTATTTAGCCTCTATCTCTAACCAAAAAATGGAAATTAAAAACAAAATGGTTAACAAACGGTCACAGATCCAAAACTAAGTTATATTTTCTATAGAGCAAGAAAGTGGTCAACAAAACTTGGAAAAAGCACAATCAATCCATCCAAACTTTCCCTGTCAGACATATCATTAGTCAAGTATCAAACGATACTGATTAGCGACAACTTGAAATCAATTTCTTGATCAAATTCGCACAAAATGTTGTGCAAAAATATCTCATACTATGTCAAGCATATGATCCACATTCATATGAAACCAAACTCAATCTTTTCTATGAGTATCCAGATGTTTACTAAGAGAACATTGCCCTTAACTACTAACATTTCACCTCAGAAAAAATCAACTCAGAAGCCACCAAACGCGTCAAGATTAATGGAGAATCCCTTTCAAGACCAGATATGCAAGCACATAAATCATTTAGTAGCATCCTTACCACCCAATGCATCATCCTGTTAATTCCAACATCTCCTCAATAATCTTAAGCACTGAAGCAGAATACACACAGGGCATAGGAACAAACTGAAAACGAAAAAGAAACAAAACTGTTTCTTCTCTAAGCTGAATGTAAATTGAGTTTGTTACAAGCAGAGTTTATATAGAGTTATTTGAACATCCTATCAGATTACTTTGATTCAAGTAAAAGGATGTTTTGACTCAAGTAAAAAGAAAATTACTATTTATTATTCATAACAAGCAAAACTTCTCCACCATGTCCAATCATGTAATCCAAGAATTCTCTAACCTTTTCAGCATCTTCAAAGACCTCAGGAGCAACAAGTTCGCTATCCAAATTGTACCAAACCCCACCAATCTTCCTCAACGTTACCCAATGTCTACTTTTCCACAACCCGGCAAACATTCTAACAGGAACATTAAGCAGAATACCCATCAAATTAGCATCTTCAGGCCCATCTAGATCAATTGAAGATGCCCCATTACGCCGATCATGCCAAACCACATTCTTCCCCTTGTCTTCTAAAGCAGCAATTAGCACATTTATGTCATAGTTTCCAGTGAGTGAATTATGATGGGGTTTAAAGAGCACAGAAAAGGGTGTCCATTTTTCCTTGTTGGGTTCTTCAAGCATAAGTTTTTCAGCAATCTCATTCAGGCTTGATCGAGTAAATGCATCGTTTTTCTGTTCTACATACATTTTTTCGATAATTAACATCAAACCCACTTAATACTCAAATCAAATAAGCAAATTAAAACCGAAAAATACAAATTAAGGTTGTCTAAAATCATAAAATTAAAGCAGAATGATCGTTTTGGGCAGAAATAATTAGTCGGTATTCTTCTATTACCTTTCTCCTAATAAAAACAAAATTCAAACATGAAGTAGATTAAAGAGAGGGAACGAGAGAGATGGGTTGTGAAAAGGGTACCTGGAAAAGATTGTTGAGCGAGTGCAAGAGGCAAAACTGTAGCTTCTGCCGCTCGTGATAGATTTGGGAATTGGTGTCGGTCGCCATTTCCAATTTCTCAAAATTCCAGTTCTTTTAACGAGAGAAAGTATGAATTCAAGGGGCGAACCACCGACTGGGTGTGAACGCAGAAACTTTTTTACTTTCTCACCAGAATGGATAAATCGTAGAAAGATAAATCCAAAAGGTTGTTGTAGCTTTTGGCTGTGTGCAGAAACCGAACTGCGAAGTGGCCAAGGAAGTTGAATTTTGTTTGAAGTTGGGTAGGGACGCGTCATCAGAAGGAGAGCGAGGCGAATGGGTCGTGGGCCATTGTTTTACTGAGGTGGTGTTATGGCCCATTGTTTTCTGGCGAACTAAGCCGGTTTTGAAAGGCCGGACAAAAGCTCAAAATCATGGCAACTCACGAAATTATCGTCACAGTTCAGAGAGATTTTTTATTATGTCAGAAACAACAACCCGATACAATAGGTATAATAATATAATTGGTGAAGCTTAAAAATAAAATTTTCAACTATTTGAATTATAATATTTGGTGTACTGACATGTGTCCTGGCATACTAAAAAATCTCTCAACAATTCAGTTCAATAATGTATTATAATTTATAACAAATAGAGAAACTTACACGATACATTTGATTGGAACACCATGTGATGATGAACTTGTTCAATGTAAATTCTTCTGTAAAACCACAACTAAACTAAATTGTTATATAGAGCAGGAAAATCGAATATAAAACTTTACTTGTACGGGTAACTGCTTTTTTTATTTTCGGGTCAAGTATGGGTAACTGCTTTACTCAGTTAAGGTACAAGCGGGTCAGCCCAAGCACGATTGGATTTTTAAGTGGACCGGCCCAAGAACACCCAAGCCCACATGCATGCAATACCATCATATAGTCGAGGAAAAGCGCAAGGTCGTATAACATTATGTGAAAATCCACGACACGTCGTTTATACAAAGACGCGCCTGGCGCCCAACGGATAGGCAGTGGGCGCAGTGGTAGTGGATAGCAAATTTCAACACCAGTCATAAACTCTCTCACTCGAGCTTGAGCTCTCCAACAATGGCGACCTCCGCAGCGCACTTATCGCTCTCCTTCTTCAACTCCTCAATCTTCCTCCCCTCCTCCTCCCACAAACCCCTCTCTGCCCTCGCACCCAACAATTCTCTCAAAATCTCTAAACCCCTCTCCGTCTCCGCCGAGCTCGCCACCCTCCCAGTCCTCTCCTTCACCGGCGAAAAAGTTGGGTAAACTTTCCTCGACCTCAAGTACGCACTCCGCCACACCGCGGGCGCCGTCGTCACCGCGCCATCATCACGGACCTCCAGAACAAGCGCCGCGGCACAGCATCCACCCTCACCCACGCAGAGGTCAGCGGAGGAGGGAGAAAACCTTACCCGCTACGACCGGGCGGTGGGGTTGTGTTCGGACCCAAGCCCAGGGATTGGAGCATCAAGATCAATCGGAAGGAGAAGCGGCTGGCGATTTCGACGGGGGTGGCGAGCGCCGCGGAGAACACGATAGGTGGAGGATTTCAGCGACGAGTTCGAGAGGCTTGAGAAGCCGAAGACGGCAGAGTTTATAGCGGCAATGAAGAGGTGGGGTTCGGACCCGAAGGAGAAGACGACGTTTCTGGTGACGGAGGTGGCGAACAATGTGAGGCTTTCGAGCAGAAATATTGGGACTTTGAAGACGCTGACGCGGAGGACTTTGAATTTGTTTGATATTTTGAATGCGGATAAGCTGATCATGACGCCGGAGATTGTGGATTATCTGAATGCAAGGTACGGGGTTGATTACGACGGCGAGACAGAGGACGAGGAGGAGGAGGAGGAAGAAGAAGGAGGAGTTGAAGTTGAAGGTTAAGTCTCTTACGCCATTTTTTGAAGCTGGTTTGATATGATTTGATTCGGGTTTGTTTCGTTTATCTGCATTTGTAGAACTAGTTTTTGCTGCAGTCTTTTAGTATTGATTGCAATTTTTTGAATTGAGCATAAGAACACAACACATGTATGCATATTGTTAGCAATGCCGCGGTTAATTTGATTCCAAATTTCGGACGTGGAGGATAACAAGTTTGCGGGCAATGTGGTTTTTCTGTTCCTTATAACCGATATTAGGGAGGGGGGAGACGAACATAGAAACTCGGGGACAAGGTGCAGTGTGGTTGTTTATTTATCAAATACAGGATTTCAGGTGCGATGTTAATGGAGGGGGGAATCGAATACAGGATTTCGGGTGCAGGGGGCAATGCGGTTTCTCTTTATCAAACTCATATTTATTGATTCTTGCAAGCTGGGACGTGTAGCAAAATGATGGGTGATTAGATTACGGAAACAAGTTTGTATCAAACATTACTCACATTTTTACATCGAACCAGTCATGGGTTTTCTGTGTACTTTTACGGAGAGGAAAACGTTGTATAGGATGGTGATGATCTTTTCTTGGAATTTCCTCTTGTTGATTTGGTTTCGTTTTTCGATTTTGGATTGCAGGGACGGCAGCAGATGAGAGTTCTGATGCAGCCGAGTGACGAGACAGATAAAGTGCTGTTTTTGTTAACACATTTTCGGCCCCCAGATTAACCTATGAGGAGGTTTCATCTCAGTTCATCCCTAACAGTGCGATCAACTGTCCATGCCTTGTTAGGATTGCAACCGAGTCATGTTGCAGGCTGGTTTCGAAACACTCTCCATCGTTTTTGTATTTGTCGTAAAATTCGCAAATGAAATCCAACACAAATGTATCTATTTGGTTCAGTTATCCCTTATGTGAGCAAATTAGGGCAGTGATTGCATTGAGTTCATCAACTCTTGTTCTCTTTCAAGGTCAACTTCTATAGCCAAACATTCTCCTTGGATTTACGATGAATTTCTGTTCCAACTACCGTTCTTATATAAATCGACTCCTAGTTTGTAACAAAAGAAACTCGAAAAACAAAGTTCATGGTATTGTACAGAAGTTTGATGCATAAAATTGGAGAGCTATGCCTATGCTGCTATGCATATGGTTATCGTTTGTAATTTGGTGTCCTTAATTATGGTATAATGCAAAATTTCCAAGCATTGCCTGGTGATGCAAACCTGAGAACAGTGGTGTTCTAGAATTCATACCGCCGACCCACTTAGTGGAATAAAACTTAGTGGAATAAGGCTTGGTTGTTGTTGTTTGTTGCCTACTGATGCAATGAATTAGTCTATTAGATGCTAACAAGCTGCTAATTTTTCTAATTTTGACTAATTAAGTTCTCGTAGAGGTCAAATTTTTTTGTTAGCGATTCCTTTTAAAGAACAGAGAAAACTTATCATCGGATCTAAGGTGTCATCGGTGAAAATCAAGTTCGAACGTCCTTCGGAAAACAAAGAAAGGAAGACGATTACAGAAGCTCTAGGGTTTGTGAAGTCATCAAATAAGTATACCAGTCCAGTGCTGTCACAAGGCGTGAGATCCGTGCATTGAGAGTTGCACTTACGCGGGCCAAATGGTATTCAAATACAAGAGGCTCGTTCGCTTGTGAGAGTGGTTTGACCACATGGTTGGTCAGGCGACCCCACTAAAGTTTATCTCCTAAAGCATTCTACTAATCTTCACCACTTTGGTGGTGTGGGATTAGAATGTTTGGTTTTTTCTTATCACATGATTTGGAGAGATCTTTCCAAATACCGGATATTGAAGCGGTACTCTACATGTCATAATTAAAGTAGAGAGAGAAAAAAGGTGTGTGAAAATCATTTCTCACAAGGAAAACATCAACAGATCATAACCCCATTTGCCACAATTTATTCTAATTTCCAAAATATATCATATATATTATCTACCAGCTGATCAAAAATGGATATTAAAATGAAGATCTTTAGATGCAGAGACAGGTGAAGAATTTAACATGCTTAACATGTTTCACAATGATCAATGAGTACAGAAAGCAAATTAGACACAGAATACTGCCTGAAATGATCAGTCCTTCTTGGCAAAAAGGCCTCCAAAGCCACCCTGCTTCTTCTTCGGCGGCACAGCCACAGTGCCCTTGCCGCCGCTGACGGAACCATTCTTGTCCTCAACCTTCTTCAGGATTGGATCAACCTCCAGCAGCTGGTCCTCCTTTGCTAGCCCTCCGAGAATCCAATCAAACGGACCCTTCTCTTGTTTGCTTCCTCCCTTGGCCTCCGTTGCAGCGTACACTTGGCCGGTTGCTCTGCCAGTCACCACCGGAGGAAAGACCATTGTCAAGGAAGCCATGTTAAGCTTGTTTGAGTCTCTAGAGGAAAATGGTATGAAAGTTTGGAATAGTTGGGAGTGAATAAGAGGAGGGAAGCAAAGTGAGTAGGATAATGTATCCTCCTCACTTTTTTTTCAGTGAATGTGAGCCGCTGGATGGATTTTGTATGGTGACTTAGATTTGAATGGATGTGTTTGTAGCACAAGCTCTCCACAAGTGTCTTATCCTCATTCCTCTAATATTTTTGGCCAATATTTTTGCTGCTGTCTGTAAATTCTACAAGGAGGAAAAATAAATAAAGGGTATTTTGTAAGATGAGGGATAGTTCTACGAAATTTTTTTTATTGTGATCGGAACACGAATAGTACATTATGTGTTTTCATATAAATGATGAAAATTGTATTTTATAAGTTATTAACTTTTTAACACACATATCTCATCATTTGTATAGTGACACGTGGTGTATCATCCTGTGTTTCAGTCATATTGAAAAATCTCTCATCAGTTACACGGATTTGAATAGGACACGTGCCAGTACCATAACCTGCAGTTAGTTGAGACTAGAGTTTTAAAAGGGGCAAGTGGAGATGGTTAGCCAACTAGGTCTATTGGAGCTTAACGTTTAACAAACTAGGAAAACAAAGCCCAAAGAGGATTGGAATTTGTGTTCCATATGATTGCTGACATTTTTGGCATTGTTTGATGTCCAAGATTGAATAAAACTAAATAACTTATTAGAATTAATATGTTAAAGAAATAAATGAATGTTAACTTCTAAAAAATTTTCAAGTTGAAAGCAGTCGATTATGAAAAAAAACTAAATTATATCCGGTCTTCCAAGATTTTTATAGAAATTAAAGGGATAAATTTTCTGCATAGCTAATTCCATCTTAGCATCAAACGAGACCTTATAATTTATGTGGGAGAGAGATGCATATAAGGTGTGATCGACGATAACAACGAGAAGAAAAGTGGAAAAAAAGAGAGAAAGAGTGGAAGTTGAATCGAGAAATTGAGAG